TGTGTGTGTGTGTGTGTGTGTGTGTATGCCCTTCATTCCACATCCATGCCAACACTGAGATGGGAAGTTGCCCTTCATAATTGCCCTTTGGTGAGACCAGAGGTGCATCTCCCCTTGTGCAACAGGTAATAGCAAAGCACAGGGGCTGATTCTGCAACCCCAGGGAATCAAGGGAGAGGGACCCCGATGAATAGTTATACAGCAGCCAAGAATGTGGGTTTTGGGTTGCAGTTTGGGCACTCCATCTCTAAAAGGTTCGCCATCGCTGCCTTCGGGTGTCCATAAGTCAGAAGTGACTTGGAGGCCAACAACAACCACCAATAGCCATTATCACACATTCTTAAGATTCCTGCTTCTGGATTTGAGAACACAGGCATTGTTGTTGTAATACAGAGTTGTTGTTGTCGAATGCCTCCAAGTTGTTTCTGACTTATGGCAACCCTAAGAGGAACCTATGAAAGGGTTTTCTTGGCAAGGTTTGTTCAGAGGATTGCCATTGCCCTCCTCTGAGGCTGAGAGACTGTGACTTGCGCAAGGGCACCCGGTGGGTTTCATGGCTGAGCTGGGAATCGAACCCTGATCTCCAGAGTCCTAGTCCAACGCTGAAACCCCAATGCCACGCTGGCCCTAAAAGCACAATGGGGAAGAGGAGCTAACTAGGAAAGAGGGATCCATCCCATCTGACTCCATCTTGTCTCTCTTTTCTCTTTTGTTCCCAGTCCGCCAACTGATCAAGTCCCAGCGGGTGCAAAATAAATTGGGGATCGTCTTTGAGAAGGAGAAGGACAAGACCCAGCGGAAGGACTTCATCTTTGTCAGCACCAGGGTGAGTCTGAAGCGCCTTCGCTCAAGACCTTGGTCTCAGGGGTCAAGATGGTGGCGTGGCATCGCTTGCAGTGGTCAATGGCCAAGTGCCAAGGTTTTCATGCACCACCAAAAGTAGGGTTTGGACTGCAGCTCCCAGAGTCCCCCTTTGAGCATGACCAAGGACCTTGCAGCCTGGGGATTCTGGAAGCTGCAGTGTGTCCTAAGGTGCATCTGCACTGTAGAAATAATGCAGTTTGGTACCACTTTCAGTGTGGTAGCTCCATCCTATGGACTTTGGGGATGTGTAGTTTTACAGGGTCTATAGCCTTATCTACCAAAGTGTGCTGGTGCCTCACAAAAACTGCAAATCCCAGGATTCTGTAGGAGGGAGCCATGACAGTTAACATGGTCTCAAACTGCGTTTATTTCTACAGTGTAGAGGCACCCTTAGGCTCTGAAGCAGCAGAAAACAGGCTGGCCTTATCCTCCGCCACATGACGTCCCTTCAGGTGTTTAAAGACGACTGAAGTCATCCATCATGTGAGGTTCATAGTCCTAGAGCTGGAAGGGGCCGCAAGGGCCATCTAGTCTGTCCTCCTGCCAGGCAGGAATCCACAACGGAAGCACTCCTCAAAGATGCTGCATATACAGAGTGACCAGATAGGTGTCCTAACTGCAAAGGAGGATAAGGCACTGCAAAATGTGGGACATCCAAGGAAAATGGAGGACATTCCAAAATAAAAGCTGAAACCACTCATAGAAGTATAAATGCATGCTTCTTAGTTGGGCTCAAAATGGAGGACGCTTTGGAATTCCTCCTGGACAGAAGGTTGAAATGTAGGATGTGTCTGGGAAAAGGAGGATCTACGGCAGGGGTAGGCAACCTGTCCCCTTTAAGGGCCGAGGGACTTCATCTCCCAGAATCCCAGGAGCTATTGGCCAACATGGGACTATTGGCCAACATGGCTGAGGCTTCTGGGAGCTGAAGTCCCTTAGCCCTTAAAGGAGAAAGGTTGCCTACCCCTGATCTATGGTAATCTCCCTACATGTATAGCAACAGCCACATTCGTTTGAAAAATGCCATGGGTAAGAAGGTTAAAATAGTTTGCAAGCAACAGTTTTGGAGATTTGCAGGTGGAACTGTCCTGTTTCCAAGGTGTCTTTGCAACTGTGACTTTCTCTGCAGCTGGATACTTACTGTTTTGGAATTCTGAAAGAAAGGAAAAAGCAAATGTGGGACAGCTGGGTGCTTGGTGTGTGTGTGTGTGTGTGTGTGTGTGTGTTGTGTCCATCCCTTTGCTGACCAAAGCTTGCTTTCCATGCCTGGCCGCTTTCTCCAGAAGCGGGAAGCCTTCTGCCAACTCCTGCAGCTGATGAAGAACCGACATTCCAACCAGGACGAACCTGACATGATTTCCATCTTCATTGGCACCTGGAACATGGGTGAGTGGCCTGGTTTATTGGGGTGGCGGGGGAGAAGGAGTGCTACCTGCATTGCACCCACAAATTGAATTCAGTGGGGAAATTGCTTTAGCTCAATAATAGGAAGCAGCGAGAAGGCTTCGGTAATGTAAAGCCAGGATTGTAAACCTTTGTATACCGCTTCCAAACCCAGAGAACTCCAGAGACAAGTTTGAAATCAATTTAGTTTATTAACAAGTAAAAGGGGAAATCATCACATAAATACACACTCTTTCTCTCTCTCTCACAGACACACACAGAGGAACTAATGATGCAAAGGCGGTAAAAGATAGCAAGTTGCAGGGTTGTAAAGGGGCACTACTCTACCAATCCTGAAAAGTAGCTCCAATTGCGGGGTTACTGAAATATGGATGTCTTAGTAGCCACCTGTGACACGTGGGGTGGCCGGCTACTGAGGTGTCCAGCTGAAATCAAACAGTGATTCTGTCCGAACCAATGTGCTATTGTCTCTAGGCACATGTATTTATAGCAAGAAGTGGGTCCTGAGAGCAGAAGCTAAATGGCTCTTCCAAGAGTTAAATGACTTTCCCAGGGGAGAAGAATGGAATGAAATATGCAAGAGCCACTAGACCAGTGGTTCTCAACCTTTCTAATGCCGTGACCCCGCAATACAGTTCCTCATGTTGTGGTGACCCCAAACCAAAAAAAATTTTTGATGGCTACTTCAAAACTAATTTTGCTACAGTTATGATTCGGAATGTAAATACTTGATATG